AATGCAGTATTGGGCAGGGAGCATTGCACACCATGGAGACCTCCCCAGCAGGGAGCACACACAGGGCCTTTGTAAATAAGTGTAGAACAAATGAGAAAATAGAATAGCTGGGCAAATTAACAAACTGTCTTAGTTAGAGAATTTACTCAGTGGATAAGAGGTCTTGCTGCTCTTGCAGAGGACCTGGGTTTGATTCCCAGCACCCACATGGAATCTCACAATTGTCTGTAATTCCAGCCCCAGGAGATCTGATGCCCTCTTCTGACCTTCTTGGGCATCAGGCATGGATGCAGTACACAAACATACATCTGGCTAAAATGCTCATGGGCATAAAATAAATAAATAAATAAATACTTTTTTTAAAAAAAGTATCTTGTAGAAATGTGGGTAAAGGTCAAGAGTGCAAAGGTAGAAAAAGGTTTTCTATGTATAACCTACCCAAAAGTCACCGTGGTTTGGCATCTGACAGCATTAAGATCTCCAGGTCTTTATGTTTTCTCTTCAACACCAATTTCTATCCCTCCTTCCTGACAATTTGCTGCTTCCACAGGAGGGAGAACTTTCTTGTGGTGTTTGGACTCTGAAAGCAGCCAATACACAGCTGCATAGTTCAGGCTACCACCTGAGTAGGTCAAGAAGCAAAAAGCCAGCCAGGAGACACTCCCAGGCCTTGAGAAAAATGGACAGATCCAGACGCGGGCTGCAGAGATCAGAAAACCCCCTGGGGGATGCTGTGTTTGTAATCAATGTTATTCCACCTCAGTCCAGAGGCACGGGGCTCTTACACCAGCACCCAATCAGAGGACATCTGCTCTGGTTTGATTTGTCTTCCCTGGATGGCGACACTGACGGGCAAACTCAGCTCGTTCAACACTGTGTTCTCTGGTCTAGGTTAGTCTAATCAAGCTGACTTAGTTTAAGTCGAGATTCTGGTAAAAGGGACGGGTATCCATTCTAATGATACCCGTGTGTCTAAATGTGTCTGAAAATAGAACAAGCTACCTAGAATTCACTTGAGATCAACCTCTGTATATCTGGATTGCAAACACTTTAGATTACAAAGTGTATGTTTATTAATTCATTTAACCAGCCCCTCCTTGGATACCGCCCCTAAGGGCAGACAGAAAGGTGAGTCACTGTGTGCCATATACACTAGGAACTTTTGAAAAATGAAAATGAAAACAAAATCTTGCCTTGTCTCAGAGAATTTTAAGATATATTTTGTGTTTAAAGGGATGCTGTCTTCTGAATGATCCTTGGATTATTCAGTAATGAAAGTCAATAAACGTCAAATTTCTGATCTGAAGCCCACCAATACAGAATAGCTATACTTTTTAAAAGAAATATGCTTCTGACATTTTCAATCCAGAGAAAAGAATGTACTGAGTAGCCAAGATGTCCCTGGACCGTGTTAGGCACTGAGGAGCTGAGAACAAAGGCACGCTGCCAAGCAGCCCCCGCCTGACTCTATGGCCAAGTCACTGTTTAAGATCCCATCACAACAATCCATTATCAAAACATGCCCATTCGGTCTCCACAAGACAGCCTGTTGAAGCCCGGAAGGGTAAGCTGCTTCAACCTCACAAGCCTTCCAGATGGCAGGAGATCCCACCCGATGGCTCTACCACTGCATTCGAGGGTGAGAACAAGAGACTGATGCTGTCAGCTCTGCACCTACAGAGTGAAAGCCAATCGTTCTCTCTCCGAGGTACAAATCCCTAGCAGCTTGGTCTTCATCTGCCTGACCTCTGTGTCCCAGCCCCAGCTCCTTATGCAGACCTCTGCTGCCTTTTCCTTTAGTCTCCCCCACTCCAGAACAACTGCCCTCTTCCTCTGCGTGGTAGCCCTTCTCTCTTGTGGTTCTGCCTCGGTGTTCCATATCAGGACTCCATCAAGAGAGGCTGGCATACTTCCTTCCACTCATTCACCGATTGCCTAACTTAACTGGCTCCAAAGGTTGCAGCAAGCCCGGGTCTATGTGCTCTTTGACTGACAGTCTTGGTTGTAAGACAAGCTGTATTTGCTGGTTCCAAAGACACTTCCCAACATCCTAAATGCTGCAGCTTTGTGTTCAGATGCTCCTTAATTCATGGATCTGGAAATTCAGAAGCCTCACAGGGGATGTAGAGAGAGTGAGCTCACAGACTGATGAGCAGAGACTGAAAGAGATGGGTACCACTGTCCCTCCCGAGGGTGGGCCTTCTGATCATTAGGACCCCTCGCTTAGGTTCTTTTGTTTTTATTTTTTACATAGTGTATATGCATCCATAAGTAGGTAGGTGCCCATGGTAGCCAGAAAAAGATGTAGGATCCTTTGGAGTACAAGTTCCAAGGAGTTATGAGTTCTGTGCCAAACTCAGACCCTCTGTAAGTGCTCTTAACTGCTGAACCATCTTTCTAACCCCTAGACTCCACTCCCTGCCTCCCAACATTTACCCAAGGATAACCAAGCTTCCAACACACGAATCTTAGGGAAAAGTCATATCCACACTACAGCTGTTCACAAATGGGGAAGCCGGTGTGTGCTGGTCTAAATGAGAATGATCCTTGTAGACTCATATGTCCGAATGCTTGGTCACCAGGGAGTGTAATTCTCTGAAGAAATTAGAAGGATTAGAAGGTATGGTCTTGTTGGAGGAAGTATATCACTAAGGGTAGGTTTGGAGGTTTCAAAAGCCCACGCCAGGCCTAGACACTCTTTCTCCCTGCTACCTGCAGCTCATGATGGAGAACTCTCAGCTGCTTCTCCAGCATCAGTCTGCCTGTGTGCTGCCTTGCTCCCTGGTTTTGATGAGCGTGAACTATGCCTCTGAAACTGTAAGCCAGTCCTCAGGTAAATGCTTTCTTTTATAAGAGTTGCCTTGGCCATGGTGTCTCTTCTCAGCCATAGAACAGTGACTCAGACATGGTGTGTCAGATGCTAGGTACCAAGCCCTCCATGCAGAACAGGGGTAGAAGCCAGACCTGTTGGCCTCCTGAACTCTTTTTTTTTTTTTATGTCCTATTGGGCATTTCTCTCTACAGTTAAAATAGTGATCAGTATTGAAGGCATTTAACAATCTTAGGTCAAAACATACAGCACAGGGCCTCAAGAAAATATTGATACAGTGTGGCCCAATACAGAGTAGAGGTCAGAACTCAGCTGTCAAGCTCTCTAGAGGTAGCTCTCGGGGCCACCATCTACAGGCTGGGAAACTTTGGACAGCAAGGTTACTTTAATCATTCTGTTTCAGTTTCTTTCTCTGTAAACTAGAAGCTATAAAATCTACATATCCTTTGCATAAAATGTGCAAAATATAATGAACATATACACAAATACATATGTGTATATGTTTATGTATGTATATGTGTGTATGTATATATATATATGTATATATAGTAAGAGATAGGTAAGATAGATAGATAGATAGATAGATAGATAGATAGATAGATAAATCAACCTTGCCAGGAAAGCTCCCTTGTTATCGAATTCTATGGGAGGAAACTGAGGAACCAATAGATTTTGTGGCTTAGGCAAGGCCATGTGGGCTGAGAGGTCCCAGTGCTAACTCTGGCGTCTTGGTTCTGTTCCAGGTGCATCTATCTGCCAGTCAAACCTTCTACACCCATCCATGTTGTATCTGTGAGGCTGGATAGCAAAGAGGCAGACCAAAAAAAAGCCAGAACAGGGGCCGTCAATGCTTATACACTATTCTGTTAAAAACTAGGAGAGAGCTGAATCTGAAAAAAGAGTGAGAAAAATAAGCGTTTTAAAGTTTGGTTCTATTGACCTTTAGTTATTGGGTTAAGAATTCACAGACTCTAAGATTTCAGGCAAATTTTTCTTTATGGGGGGTGATTGAGGGGAAGGTCCTAGATCACTGTAGCTGCAGGATGTCTAGGTCACTCCTGCAACTGCAACACTTTGCAGGCTGAGGCAGGAGGATAGGCAGCAGTTTGAGGTCACCTGGGATGGCATGGTAAATTCCAGGCTTTCCTGGCTACAGAGGGAGGCTTTATCTCAACCAACAAGAACAACACACACACACACACACACACACACACACACACACACACACACCTACTACATTACTGCAAAATATCCATATAAGCAGGGTAACAGCACATGACACACATTCAGAGTGGTGTTTTTAAGACGCTCTCTTGACCATAAGCCCAAATTGTAGCTCATTACTTCCAAAATGCGTGTAAGAAAGTGCATGCCACAAGTAGGTTCTGCCGAAGAGGGCTGTATATTCCATAAAATGCCTACTTCATTGAGTTCCAGAGACACACCCGAAAACTACCGAGCAAATACGGCTAATTCTTCTTTTAAAACCAGAAAGGGCATTGAAGAGTTTCTTTCCACAAGACATCACGAGACTGCAAGCTATCGGTTAGAATTCTTTTCATTTAAAAGCATTACTTCCTTTTTAACCCTATGTCTCAGGTTTTAATTTTGTGGATGAGTCAAGATGTGTGGTCACAGGCAAACTCCCACTTCTTCCCAAGGGAAATGCCTGGACATCCACGTGTTGGCCAGCCTGTCACCTCCCTTACACAGACTTCACAGACCAGTTCCACTTCATCCCCAGAGGGTCGCCGGTAGGCGGTTCACCGTCTCCCACCACCTGGCGGCGACCCACCCCTCTAGGGCTGCAGCTCATCCTCTGGACGCCAATGGTCTCTTCCCCACCATTCCCAAGTTAAGCTCTCGTATGCTCGGATCCCTAGCATTCATGGATCTGGTCCTCTCTGGCCCGCATCCGCTCTTCCTGGAGGTGTCTTCCCGTATATCAGCTCCCCGTTTCTGTAGTCTCCCCTTCAAGACTCCCCTTCTTCTCCCATGTTTCCGGTGCACCGTCTCCATGACTCGCCCCCTCCCCTCCTAGAACCCTCCCCTTCATTTCGAGCCCCCATCTGGGTGTCCCCTGCCCAGCTAGGCTCTCTTCTCCCCGGATCTGTCCTCTCTGTTTTAGGTCCCCATCCCGGGTGTCCTCTGCAAAACAGAGCTCTCCTACCGTCAGGTTCTGTCCTCGCTCCGTTTCGGGGTCCCTATCCCGGTGCGGTCTGCACAGCCCTGCTCCGGTCTCCCGGTTCTCCGCCCCGCGGTCTGGCTACGCTGGCTACCGGTGTCTCTCCACGCGTGCTAGGGCAGCTGTCTGGTGACTATTCTTGTGTACCAGGCCAGACTGTGGCCTGGGCGGCGGAAGGAGTACTCGCCCGCAGCAGGGCCGGGGTCTAGGGCACCCAGCGGACTGTGGCGCGGCGGTGGCGGCGGCTCAGCAGGCGGAGTGCAGCCCGCGCCGCTCCCGCCCTCGAGAACCCCCGCCGAGTCATTTGACCATATAAGGACAGACGCGCCGGGGCGGCGGGCTAGGCGCGCGGGCCAAGGGAGCAGGGCGCGGTGGCGAGCGCCCCTCGATGATCGCCTGTTGTCGCTCGCGTGTTTCCCTGCTGCAGCTGCTGCAGACCCTTTGTTTGACTTAACGTTCTTCCTTGCTTCCCGGTGTTTTCGCACACAGAGTCAAGCCACCCTGAACCCTGGCCTTGGTTCCAGGGGCCAGTGGTGGTGTGATGCAGAAGGCTGGGCCCGCTGCCACCCAAGGGAGAAATGACATGGGTCTCTCACCAGGACCCTCTTCTGGGTTTCTGGGTCTGAGCCTGGTCACAGCCTGGTGCAAACATGGGTGGGCTATTTGAAGATTTGGGAGAGGAACGGTGTTATGCACAGGACATGCCTTGACATGGTGGTCTTCTGGACCTTGCTTTGCAGATAACTCACCATGTGGGAATGAACCCAACCAATGACCTAAAGGATCCTTAATAAGTCTGTTTCACTAAGGAGCTGACTGAGAGAAGGTTCTATGCCCAATGCTCAGGATTAGAGAACTGTTGACATTTAGTGGCTCCATCAGGGCAGAAGGCAAAAGGAGGTCTTAATGTGTCCCTCACACTCAAAACCAAGGTTCTCTGAGCAGAGTTGGCCCTTAATAGGGGCAGGAGGCAAAGTCCATCACGGAGGTGGGAGGCATCGGTATCCCCGTGCCTAGGAAAGGCGGCATCTGCTCTTGAGCGGGCCCACAAGCAGACACGGTGGCAGATGGGCACATGGAGGGACAATGAAAGCCTGAGTTAGTGCTGTGACATTTGAGTGCAGGGTTTATGGAGGGATACAGCTGGGTGTCACTGAGATGGCATGGCCACTGTGAGAATGTGCCGTTGGTTGGTCATTTGCCTTCTCAGTCAGGAAGCAGAGAGAGATGAGAGCTGGTGCCTGGTTTACTTTCCCCTTTTCATCCGGTCTGAGAGATCAGCTCTTGAGGGGTGCTGTCCACCTTTGGGGGGTCAGTCTTTCCCCTCCTTTAAACCTCTCTGGAACCATCCTCAGAGTCCTCTAGAGGTGTGTCTCCTAGGGGATTCTAAACCCAGTCAAATCGACCGAAGAACCATCACAATAGTAGAGGGTTTTGTGGGTGGGCATGTTATTCTCATCGCTCGAGGGGGGCTCAGGGTAACACGTTTTTCAGAGAAGGCAGGGACAGCTGTGTGATGGCTTTCTCCTGGTTGACACTTCCTGATTGGTGTCACAAGGGAGTTTGCATGGTGGACTCTCAGAACGTGAGAGGTGAGGGTGTCACGTGATCTGTCCCTTACTCAGCACTTGCTCCATCTGGCCTCGCCCAGGATGCTCAGTCCCTTTAGGTAAAGTTAATTATCTCGGTTATGTGACTTTTGCTCTAGATGAGGAGAATGATTTTTATACCAGCTGAGATTTGCACTGGTGTCTATGAGATGGCAAGGCCATGCAAGCCAAGTAAAGGATCAGAAATTCTCAATTCCTGTCACTCACTCAGGGGACTCCCCAAGGTTAACACTTTCCCCTGAGGAGGTGGGTAAGCTGAACTTGACACAGGGATCCATTCCACTCCTGTTCCCATCTCCCAAGTGAGGCATACCCTAAGTGAATTCCCTCTAATGGTCTGGGTAGGCTGGATCCTAGATTCCAAGTAAAGTGTATGTAGACAGATCAATCACTCCAAGGCTACTAACATTTACTCTCTCTAAGTAAAAGCTACAGATTGCAAAATCGTCTAGGTATCAGATGGTGAGTCTTGAGCATCAGTTTTAAAATACAAGTTCAAAGAATAATGAAACACTAATTCTGCGTTTATTCTTGCCTGCTTCCTTCTGTTTTATTTGCTTACACTTTGAGAGTTATGCATTTAGTTTTATTCTTACTGACATAATAAGTTACATAAAGCTTCTTCTGCTAACTGCAGGAGCTGTGCCCCACTGATTCTGTTATGCTGGTGCTTTCTTCATTAGAAGTTTTGTGATTTGTTTTTATATTTCCCTTGCGACATTAGAGAGGTATTAAATACCTCAAGAGTCATATGGTCAGGAAAATTCAGTCTCTCAAACAGGGTTACCCATTTCTACAATGTTGAGAAAAGAGGGATGGGGAGAAACCAATGGACGAAAAAAAAAAAAAACTCCCCCCAAACCCAACCAACCAACCATCACTTACGTTTGGATTTTGATCGTAGAACAAACTATTAAAAGAAGAATTTTTTTATGAACCAATTTGGGAAATTTTGGCATTGACAGGTTATTTGATGATATTATAATAAGTTAGTAAGGTTTTTTTGTTTGTTTGTTTTCTGAGACAGTATCTCTGTCTGGCTTTGAAGCCTGTCCTGGAACTCACTTTGTAGACCAGGGTGGCCTTGAACTCACAGAGATCTACCTGTGCCTATGCCTCCCAAGTGCTGGGATCAAAGGCATGCACCACCACCACCTGGTAGTGGTTTATTTTTATATGAAATTACATATACACATGTTTTTCTTCTTCAAAACCCCCTTACTTTTCAGAAACTTTCCCAAAAGAAGTAACATGCCAGGGCTGGTTCAGGATAAATCGAGGCAGAGGAAGTAGATGGAACTAAGATGTACATGTGAAACGGTTTCACCTGTGGGCTTTTAGAGTCACTGAAGCTCGATAGTGAATGTTGAGAATTTATCCTATCTCTCGTTTCCCCTCACAATGCTTGAAGAACCTCATGATGAAAAATGTCTTTAAGTTAAAAGTGCACACACTGTTGGCCGTTTCTAGGTTTTCCCCTTGCAGGAACCTACCTTGTGTGTACTTTCTCCTAGGCAAAATGATATGAACCAAAGAGCAGTCCCTGAAGAACTGTTTGTGACAGCAAAATCCTGGGCCAGATCAAGTGTCTGCCAGCAGGGGACTTGTTAAACACAGCATGGTACGTTTCCAAATTATTTATGAGCGTAGCTGTTAAAAATGTGGTAAGTATATTTACTGATTTGGCATGATCTCCGAGACACAGCAACCAAGAAAAATAAAGGCAGGGAATATTTCCTAGATTGTAACCAATCATTTGCCTTCGTGAACAAAGAGAGGGGAAACAATACAGCCTTGTTTGTGACTAGGCCTGCGAGGCTGGGGCTTGGGCCAGGAGGGAAAGGAGACTGTTTTATTGGGTATTTTTACTTGTTTCCTGCGACATTCAAGAAACCCAAATGTATGAGCCGTTAAAAAAAATGTATTAGTTAAATGTTCTTATGCTGAAAGTAACACGTGTTCATTTAAGAAGAAGAGAGAATTAGAGGGTCGGGGGACTTTCAGGAAACAGGAAGGTTAGACAATTACAATTTCTGGTTTTAAAATCATCTACTCATATCAACAACTCAAAGAATAAACTATTTAAAAATAAAAATTATCATGTAATCTGGATGCACGAACGGACCAGTCACTGAAAGATAGCTTGGGACAATCTCTCATTTTTTAAATTAATGACTTTTTATAGCGCATTGGATAAAACATTCTGAGAAATATAAATTCTACTATGGAAGAATAGAGCCCTGAATACAGGCCTGTACCTGAGTGTCCTACCTATGATGAGATCTGTGACCTCAGGTAAACCATGAGACTTCCTAGCCCTCAATTTACTTATTTTATAATATGGCCTAACTAATATCTATTTTAAAGAGTTATTGTGGAAGCCCTTAGTCTTTAGAGGTCCTGCATGTAAACAACCCAGGACCGAACAGTATAGCACACAGTAGGTCTCCAGTAAACGTTGACTTTTATGCAACGGCAAAGGTGTGATGAGAAGGAAACCACCGTCTTCTCACCAGGAAGGAGATTAAGGCTCAGCTCCTTTCTATAAATGGAAGATTTTCCTCTGGAGAGAAAAAAACTCTGCTTTAGATAACAGGCTAGTTGGTCAAGCAAAAAGAAACTGAGAGACAATCTAATTCCGTAAGCAGAACCAAGCCACAGTGAAGGCAAACGATAGGTTATTGAATTCTTGGCCTGGAATTCGGTCACTAGCCAACACTCTCTGGACCTTGGGGCCACACAGCTGAGGGGAATGAGCTCCTAGCTGCGTGTCTCGAAACCTGTGGCCAGCTTGGCCAGGATGCACAGGGAACGTGTGAGAGGGCAAGTCCTTCGGGAAGCAGCCCTCCAGGTGCCCCTGAAGGCACTTTGAGTGAAACAGCTCCTAGGAATTCCAACTGCCTGGCTGAGGTTACTGCGATTCCCTGTCAATCTCTGGAAGAGGGAGGGAGGGAGGAAGGGAGACCAAAGACAGAACAGACCGCTGTTAGCAACACCAAAACCCAATCTCATGTGTCATGTCCTCTGTCACGGGAAAACAGCATAGCAACGTCACAACATCAAAAGGTTTGGTCTCGGAGCAGAGTGATCCAAATGCTGACTTTGCATTGGCCTGCACCAGCCTGAAGACTGAGTACCTGGGGCAGGTGGATGCTACCACCTGGTGGCAAGTTAGCTAGTGAGAGAGGCTGGCTGCAGGCCCACCTGTGAGGAGTAGATGGGGTCTCCTTCCTCCGATGGTGGCCACTCTATGGACCAGGAGGACCTAATCACTAGGAAGAAGGGGAACGTCTGAAACAGGGCCGGGTGACAGACCTCTCCATATGGCCACCGGCACTGGATAACCTTAAGAGCACGTTTGTCTCACTGAAGAGTGATTTCTCCCACGTAGACATCCCCACTCAACCCCGAGCAGGAAGCTGCTTGGATGATTCAGCCTTGATTCAGAGCTCATCTTCCGATTGCCTCATGTGGTTGGAAGGTGAGTGTCTAGAATCAGAAAGCCGGGACAGGCAACTGGGAACGATCAAACACCATGCTCTCTCCACCTGGGAAGCCGAAGGCAGGTGTTTGCATGTGTCTAGGTGACA